TTAGATCACTCAGTCGATTGAACTCCAAAAATATTGTTTTTTCTCTAATTTTCTATTTCACTTTTGTGCTACAAGCGAATATTCGTATTTGTTTTTGTGTAATTTTTAAAAATGAATAAATAAATAAATACATGATTTACTCTAAATCAAATATTTTCTTGAACAGCTAAAGGATATAGAAGTCAGAAATGGGTCAGACCAGCTATACAATGCTCTAAAAAGCTATGAAATATCATACATGATTCATTTAAGATCGTATATTATCTGACATAAAGAGCATTCAAGAATCGTACAGTACAATATTATCAGAAATGGTGGCTTTACAATATGCGTACAGAATCTTACTAGATTATATACGAACTTCATATGATTTTGTATGTTTATGCAAGATCTTTCAATAAGTTCCTGTATGATCGTGGAGGAATCATACAAGATCTTAGTCAGCTTGTTCGGCCTGCGTAATCTTTTTTATTGCTTCTCCTTTGCCTTTGGTGCACCTTATATTCTATTGTTATTTAATTTTCGACTAAGTTGATTGTTGAAAAGGAAGAGTTGAAAATAACAGATTGAACTTGTCTTTTTCGTTAAGAGAATAGGTCGATCTGTTTTCAATCGATTTATTAAATCGTGAAAAGCAAATAATTTATATTTATTCTGAAATATGAATAAAAAATGCTCTATAAAAGTTACTATTCCTGTAGCGAGTGACAATAAGCCGTGTAAGAAAAGACTATTCATGCAAAGGTAGGTTCAACGGAAAGTATTTGACTTTGTGCTGTAAGATCAGCAATTTTTCGAGCACTGGCATATGATGACGAGTCGAGATTCTCATAATTTAGTATTGTTTTTTAATAAACTTGGCTCAATAGAATAGATTTCTAATTATTTTGAAATATGTCAGGTGAGACCCATGATCCTGTATTTAACAAAATATTAGTTCCGAAGTAGATAAAATAAACTGCACAAAACATTTTTTTGCCCTAAGTGAATAAATAACTATCTCCATGATATTGTGCGTTTTTCGGTTTATAATGTGCATGGCCATTTTTTTCTCGTTCTTTCATTTTATTTGTCTATGTATAACGCAGAGCCAGCAGTGTAAACACCATACATGATTGGCTACTAAGTTAGTAGCTTTATAACAGCGGACGTCGTTTTAAAATATACACACGCATAATAAACAACAACAACGAG